ATATATTTTTTAACCAAATCAGATCCTTTTCATAATCCACGACAAAAACCACAGAGAAAACGTTTGTCTCGAGAAAAAATATCTGCAAAAACGCGTCAGACAGGAATTCAGCAATACGGGTCATTTATTCAGCGAGTCTCGAAGTCACAGTGCTACCACTCAACAATTTCACTTGCTGAATTGTTTGCCAATTTTTACTTAACTGGCCGTCTTCACGTGCAAGCCGATCTCGCTTGCGTGAGGTCGATTGCGAGATCGGGCACGTGTAGACCGCAAAAAGTGCGAAGCATAATTTTTCTCGCATGCCGAGCGGTTTGCGAGCTCACGCACGCTTTCAACTGTATTTTCTGATTTCGCAGACTTCTTCAGAATGGTAATATCGTAGATTTTGGTGGAAAATATAAATTTAGCTTGCAAAGGGCGAATCTTCTTTTTTGGCCATGATTTCGCAGACTTCTTCAGAATGGTAATATTGTTTATTTTGGTGGAAAATATAAATTTAGCTTGCAAAGGGCGAATCATCTATTTTGGCCATATTTTACAAATGAAATAGTATGCTGTCAAATTCCCAGCCAACAAAACTATTATCTCTGGCCAACAGTGTTGCCATTTTAGCCGTTTTCGGGCTAGATTTAGCCGGTTACGATAGCAAACAGCCGGAGAAAATTCGGTTTAGCCGGCAGCCGAATTGCTAGCCGTTTCGCAAAAAGAAAATTGCCGGTTTTAGCCGATTTTCCTATTTGCCATTCGCCTTATTTTATTAAAATTCAAATAAACAAGTTTTTATTTTTACAAATTTAGTGATCCAAAATCTATTAGAAATGGCTAGTCTTATACCTGAGAAAATTTTCATGTCGGGCTGTGTTATATAAAATTGAAAAACAATTTTTTCTAACCCGAAAAGTCTTCAGATAGTGAGCCGATTTCAATGTTTTTTTTTTGTTTTAAGGGAGTGACCCAATTACATATAAACTGGGACGCACCATTTTAGCTGATTAGAAAGTTACAAATTTTGCTGAAATTTTGCAGAATTTTCATAATTTTTACACAAAGCCTAAAATCTGAATGTAGTATATGGTTTTTGTTAAGTAATAAGCTACATATTCGTAAAAAAATAATAAACTATAAATAAACTAAAGAAAAATTGGCGAAACTTGCTTAAATTTTTGTTAAGAATGACTTAAATTTAAGTGTGAAGTTTTACGCGCAACACTTAGAAAATAAAAGAGCACAAATTTTGATGTGGAGCAAAACTATCAATACCTGTGTGACAATACCTGTGAAGAATTGCATCATGGTGCAAATAAACTTTATTTTTGTTATCATTGTTATTTCCGAGTTGGTGGCACTAGAAGAAATAACCTCATCAGTCCAACTCCGGTTACGCCATCAACAGTATTTTTGCGCAAAATCCACCGCCATCATTTTAACTCGACCTCCTTCCTGTTCCATGGATAACGGTACATCTTTTAGAGGTTAAAAAATATTTTGCGTCAGCAATTTGTCGTCGAACTGCACGTATTACGTACCCTATCCTCGGAAAAGCAAAGAACTTTATTTTCGAATCTTTTCTCAGGTGTACCGAATTCTGGCAGTTTGGAAACGCGCAAGACTTTTAATATTTTCATCCAACTTCACTAACTTAATGTTTTTTTACTTTTACAAGAATCAAAATTTTGTCTACTAGTGAATCTGGTGGCATGATTTTAGTTAAATGTCATAAACTTGTTAAAAGTTCGGCAACAACAATGAATGTTAATATATTAAACTACCTTCTGTGTTTGTATCATGGCGTTTTCTTTTCTCGAAATAATGTTGCTCTGTTTTCCTCAGCCCTTTCACTACTTTACGTGTTGATTTCTCAATATATTGCCCTCCGCCTAAGCAAAAGTGCCATACTTTTTGCTAATATAGTCATTTTGTGGGACAAAAGGCAACATACTGCAAATGTTACAATATTTATAAGAAGGCAAAATTGTTTAATAGAAAAGAAAATGCCATAAGTTTGTAATTTATCTCTGTTTTTATATTTAAGTAATACAAACATGACTTCTGATGTAAAGCTTAGCTACGTATAACGACAGTTTTCATGGTTAAACAAGCTAGGAATAATCTTTGTTAACCAAAAAAAATTTAATGGATTTACTAGTCTTTCTAATTGTAATTTATGTATTAAAAAAAAAGTGAATTCTAGTTGAAAAATTTTAGCCGTTTTTTTGTCCAATCTAGCCGGTCACCCCAAAAAGTTCTGGCAACACTGCTGGCCAAGGACTATTACAACGTTTATACGCACGTATTATTTGCAAAATGGTAGTTTGCCGTATAAACGCTGAGTTAATTTTTTATTTGCAAATAACTAAATTACGCAAATAAGAATTGATTAGTGGTACTATCTGCAAATAAGGGCAAGACGCCGCCATTCTTAGGTTTATTTTATTTTTCGATGGTCATCTTATTGCCTTTTTATAATCAAAACGTTGCCATTTTTAACTTTATTTTCTTTTTCGATGGTCATATTATTGCCTTTTTATAATCAGGCAATATTAAAAAAGAATTTTTCACCATCTAATAAACAGTGAGTTAGGTATTTGCAAATTAAGTGTTTATTTATATCGCCCGCATATAGCCGATATCAGCCGATCCCGGTTGCAGTGTGCGCGTAGCGTAAGCTACATTTTTGCCTAAGAAAATAATTTATTGGCAACACTCCCGCCTGTGTGTTGGTGTGAAAGCACAAGCCAACAACAAATGGGATAATTTATTTGGGGAAATTCGATGTCGTTTTTCCAAGTGGTTTAAGGAAAAGGGGCTGCTAGGATTTCAGAGAGTCAAAAAGTTTATAAAATTGCTATAAA